ACACTTGCCTTTGAAACCATTTAAACAACTCAACTATCTTGCAAAAGTGTACACCACAGCCATAGAATCCCTACAGTTCAGAAGTAGGCTATTAGGCCCATCGAGTCTGCACTGCTCCTCCAAAGATCATCCCACCCAAACACGTAACCAGCAGCCTATCCCTAAAACCGTGCATTTACCATGGTTAATCCACCAAGCTGGAACATCCCTGCACCCCAAGGGGCAATTTAGAATGGGAGATCCACCTAGCCTCCACATCTTTGCATCTTGGAAAGAAACCAGACCACCGAATAGAAAATGCATGCAGACACGGGGAGAACGCGCAAACTCCACACAGACAGTCATTCAAGGGTGGAAGTGAACTCAGGTCTCTGGTGCTGTGAGGCAGCTGTGCTAACCACCAACGAACGCATAAGCCCTTTGTCAATAATCTTCTGATGCATGAAGTGAGGTTTGTCAGATTTTGCTCTTGTGAAGCAACTAAAACAGTTTTGCCAGGTTAACAGTTGTATACCAAAACAAATTACTTTTGTGATATTGATATTACGAGTCATGGAGTCATAGAGTCATAAAACATGGAAACAGACCCTTCAGTGCAACCAGCACATGTTGAACAGAATTCCAAACTAAACTCGTCCCACCCGCCTGCTCATGGCCCATATCCCTCCAAACCTTTCCTATGTCTTTTAAACGTTGAAATTGTACCTGCATCCACCACTTCCACCACTGAATCCCCCACTATCCACATCCTGGGGGTTATCATTGGCCAGGAAGTCAACGAGACTCACCACATAAACACAGCGACTACAAGAGCAGGTAAGAGGTTGGGAATAATGCAGCAAGTAACTCATCTCCTGACTCCTCAAAGCCTGTGCCACCATCTACAAGGCACATGTCAGGAGTGTGATGAAATACTCCCCACTTGCCCTGGATGGGGGCAGCCCCAACAACACTCAAGTAGCTCGACGACATCGAGTACAAAACAGCCCCCACTTGATTGGCACCACATCCACAAGCATCCACTCCCTCCCCCACTGACGCTCCGTAACAGCAGTGTGTACCATCTACAAGATGCTCTGCAGAAATTCATCAAAGATCCTCATACAGCACCTTCCAAACCCACGACCACTTCCATCTAGAAGGACAAGGGACGGAGACATATGGGAACACCATCACCTCAAAGTTCCCCTCCAAGGTGCTCACCATCCTGACTTGGAAATATGTCGCAGTTCCTTCAGTGTCACTGGGTCAAAATCCTGGAATTCCCTCCCTCAGGGCATTGTGGGTCAAACTACAGTGGTGAACTGCAGCAGTTCAAGAAAGCAGCTCACCCCCACCTTCTCAAGAGGGGCAACTAGTGATGGGCAAAAAATATATGTCAGCCAGCAACACCCACATCCCACAACTGAAAAGAGAAAAGACTTCCTCAAGAAGTTCATTCCACATGCGAACCACTCTCTGTGTAAAAGATTTGCCTGTTATGCTTTTTTTTAAAAAAATCTTTCTCCTCTCACCTTAAAAATGTGCCCCCTAGTCTTGAAATCCCGCATCCTAAGGAAAGGACAACTACCGTTAACTCTGTCCGTACCTCTCATTATTTTATAAACTTCTGTCAGGTCACCTCTCAACCTCCTATGCTCCAGTGAAAAAAAAAATTCTCAGCCTATTCAGCCTTTCTTTACAACTCAAACCTTCCATACCCAGCAACGTCTTGGTAAATCTCTTGTGAACTCTCAAGATTGATAATATCCTTCCTTTAACTGGGCGACGAGAATTGGACACAATATTCCAGAAGAGGCCTCACCAAAGTCCTGCACAACCTCAACATGACTTTCCCAACTCCTGTACTCAAAGGACTGAGCAATGAAGCCAAGCATGCCAAATGCCTTTTTAACAACCCTGTCTATATGTGATGCAAACTTCAAAGAATTATGTACCTGCATCCCTCAGTCCCTCTGTTCTTCAACACTATCCAAGGCCCTACCATTAAGTGTATAAGCCCTACCCTTGTTTGTCTAAATATTTTGCATTTTTCCAGATTGAACTCCACCTGCCATTTTTTTTCAGCCCATTGATGCATTTGATCAAGATCGCTCTGTAACCTTAGAAAATCTTCCCGCTGTCTACTATTCCACCAATTTTGGTGTTGTCCGCAAACTTACTAACCACGCCTTCTATATTCTCATCCAAATCATTTATATAAATGACAAACGAAAGAGAACCCAGAACTGATCCCTGTGGAACACCGTGGGTCACAGGCTCCATGCTGAAAAGTAACCCTCCACCACCACTCTCAGTCTCCTGCTGTTAAGCCAATTTGGTATCCAATTGGCAAGTTCACCCTGAATCCCAAGTGACGTAAGTTTACTAATTAGTCTACCATGCGGAACCTTGTCGAAGGCTTTACTAAAATCCAAATAAACCACGTCTACTGCTCCGCCATCATCAATCCTTTTGGTAACTCAATCGAGTTTGTGAGACACGATTTTCCTCGCACAAAACCATGCTGACTATCCTTAATCAACTGTTGCCTCTCTAAATGTCAATAAATCCTATCTTTTATAATTACCTCCAACAATTTACCCACAACTGAAGTCAGACTCACAAGTTCCCCGGTTTCTCCTCACAACCTTTCTTAAACAAAGGTACAACATTAGCCACCCTCCAGTCATCAGGCACCTCACCCGTAGTTATAGATGATGCAAATATTTCTGCGAGGGGTCTCGTAATTTCCTCCCTCACTTTCCACAATGTTATGGGATACATTAGATTAGTACCTGGAGTTTTATCCACCTTTATATTCTCTAAGAACTCCTGAACATCCTCATCTGTAATGTGAACTGTTTTTAAAACATCAAAGTTCATTTCTCTGCATTCTCTAGACTCCATTTCTCTATCCATAGTAAAAACTGACACGAGCTATTCATTTAGTATCTCTCCCATCTCCTTAGCCGGAACAAGGGGCAGGTAAAGCAGAGAAAATGGAGGGAGTTGCGTCTGTTCCATACATCTCATCAATTCCATGCAAAATAAAGCCCGTGAAAGCAGCACCTTATTTGTAAGTATGTTTTGTACTTTAAGACTATAATTTTTCTTTACTTACTTCAAATATACAAAGAAATTTGATACTTCCAGAGTCGCAGTTAATGTTTGGCGTCGGCATATAGAATTCTAAAGTAGTTATGGATGCATCCACGACCACTATGATGACACTGATCATGTTCACCGTTAGACATGTCCGCACCTTCAAAATGGAAGCAATAATTTATTTACATATCTGAACACCCTGACATAAGAACATAAGAACATAAGACCTAGGAGCAGGAGTAGGCCATCTAGCCCCTCGAGCCTACCCCGCCATTCAATAAGATCATGGCTGATCTTTTTGAGGCTCAGCTCCACTTACCCACCTGCACACCATGACCCTTAATTCCTTTACTGTTCAAAAATTTATCTAGCCTTGCCTTAAACACATTCAGTGAGGCAGCTTCAACCGCTTCACTGGGCAGGGAATTCCACAGATTCACAACACTTTGGGTGAAGACGTTCCTCCTGACCTCAGTCCTACATCTGCTTCCCTTTCTTTTGAGGCTATGCTCCCTAGTCCTAGTTTCACCTGCTAGCAGAAACAACCTCCCTGCCTCCACCTTATCGATTCCCTTCATAATCTTGTATGTTTCTATAAGATCTCCCCTCATCCTTCTGAATTCCAATGAGTACAACCGTCACAAAGCCATTGGCTGTTTGGGTGAAAGTACATGAGACCAGTCAGATGGGTGAGGATTACGCTGACAAACATTGCAATAGAAAAGTGTGCATTATTTGTGGAGGGAGCATTTGAAGTACCACAGAATGACAGAATTGTTATTGTGCAGAAGGAGGCTATTTGGCCCAGTGTGTCTGCGTGGTTCTATCACCCAAAACCAATCTTCTGCCTTTTCCCCCATGTCCCTGCACATCCAAATAGCTATCCAATTCCCCCCTTGAATGCTCCCAATTGGACCTGCCTCCACCACAAATCCAGGCAGTCTATTCCATTCTGCAACTACTGGGTTTGTGAAAAAAAATTCTTTCCTCTCATATCACCCTGCTTCGTTTGCACATCTGTTTAAATCCAATGCCCTCTCACTCCTTTTATGAGCAAGAACGAGCTTCTCCCTCTCTACTCTGTCCAAGATCCTCATGATTGAGAACCTCTATTAGATCTCCCTCTCATTCTTCGCCCCAAGGGAAACAGTCCCAACTTCTTCAATCTGCCCTAAAATCTGAAGTTTCACATTTCTTGAACTATTCTTGTAAATCGTACCCCTCCCCACCCTCTCAGATATGTCACCAGTTATTTAGAATCCCTACAGTGCAGATGGAGGCCATTAGGCCCATCAAGTCTGCACCGATTCTCCAAAGACCATTCCACCCAGACACACACTCACCAGCTTATCCCTGTAACACTCCATTTCCTATGGCTGATCCACCTAACCTGTAAATCTTTGGATTATGTAGAAATCCACGCAGCCATGGGAAGTACATGCAAACTCCACACAGGTAGTCTCTTGAGGTTAGAGTCGAACCTGAGTCTCCAGCATTATGCTGCAGCAGCGTTAACCACTGAGCCACTGTGCTACCACATATTGTTAAAGAAAAAGCGTTCTCAAACACTCTCTATTAATGGATTTTTCGACCTCCGGCGTGTACAATCTTTTCTGTTACATTATTGTAAATATAACAAGGTTCCACAAGACATCCATATCCTAATGTATGTATTTTCACTGTAGTGATATAAAAATGCAGAGGAATAAATTGCAATCAGTTCAGTACCAAAGCTTTTACAGGTTTATTATGTCATCTACTGTTTTAGCTAAGGTATGACTGAATGGTGCAATATGGACTCTGTTTGCCCAATTGACTTTATCACCCGATTAACCCACAAACTGGGACATTAGTGCAGGAATGGCCAGGTTGCAAATTTTCATACAGCAGAGCTCCAACATAGGTATACTTACCAGGCGTGTACTTGGCGCTATTTCCAGAAAACATGAGGAGATCCCACAGAACATAACCTGGAATACAAAACCAGCGTGTCAATTTTACTTCACCAAGCCCGGTCACAACAATTACAACTATCTAAAACTACGGGTCATCCTTTCCATTTGGATTTTAAGTCTTTGACTCAGGTTGTAACCCACCTCAACAAACGAGAAACAGAATTTTTTTGGAGAAACTCAGCAGGTGCAGGGACAGCTGACTTTCTCCAGCATTTTCTGTTTTCTTTGTTTCAAATCTCCACCATTCCTGCTTTTTATTTGTTTCAAACTTCCAGCAATTTTTGTTTTTAATTGCTTCAGATCTCTAGCAATTCCGGTTTTTTTTTATTTGTTCCAAATCTGCAGCAATTCCTGTTTTTGTTTGTTTCAGATCTCTTGCAATTTCTGCTTTTGGTTTGTTTCAGATCTCTAGAAATTTCTGTTTTTATTTGTTTCAGATTTTCAGCAATTTTGCTTCATTTGTTTCACATCTCCAGCAGTTTCTGCAGGTTGCTTGTTTCATATCTGCAGCAATTTATGTTTTTGTTTGTTTTAGATCTCCTGCAATTTATATTTTTGTTTGTTTTAGATCTCCTGCAATTTATATTTTTGTTTGTTTTAGATCCCCTGCAATTTATATTTTTGTTTGTTTTAGATCCCCTGCAATTTATATTTTTGTTTGTTTTAGATCCCCTGCAGTTTATGTTTTTGTTTGTTTTAGATCCCCTGCAGTTTATATTTTTGTTTGTTTTAGATCCCCTGCAATTTAT